AAAATTAACTGTTTGTGTCACAGTCTGTCAAAGATGCAAAAAAGTCAATTTTCAACTATCAACAATTCCGAAACAGTTGAAGATAGGTATATGACATTACACATAAAATATATTCTCGATTCCGAACCCACGATTCGATAGTATCGTCCATATAAAATAGATAGACAATACTTTCGAATCGTGGGTTTGGAATCCGGGCCCAGACCCATAGAGAGTTGAAAAAATTGTGTTTTTCGCCATTTTTACAAAACTGATTAACCACAACAAACAACGAAATGAAGATTTATAGAATTTTGAATGTGCTCTTGACGTGCTGCCACATGTGTATTCCACATTAGAGTGAATGCAGTAACTCAACATATCTGTGCATTCCTTGTCTCAAAACCTTCGGGGAACCCCAATTAGATAGAAACAATCGATGAAAACAACAAGTAGGCAGAAAACGGTTAAATTCGTAGTCAAATACATTGTTTATACTACCGATATTCTCAAAAGTTCACACTACAGAATATGTATAATGTATTCATTCTGGAGGTTCACAGAAGCGTGTGTTTACACTAGCATGAGTCTACTGTACCTAACAAATTTTGGAAAAATGGAGAACAGCAATACGAATACGAACTCTCTTTTACTGCTTTCTTGTTCAAAAGACTATTTCTAGGGGGGGGCAAATGCCCCCCCTTGCCCCCCCCAAACGACGCCCATGTATGTAGATCTGCTGAAGGCCTATGACAATGTACCCCCAAAGCTACTTTGGAAAGCGATAGAAAAAATAGATATAAACCTACAACTACATTGAAGATCTATACAACTGAAGCCAAGCGAAAGTTAAGATAAGACAACGGCTGACCAGCACATTTCATGTTTTGTCGTGAACCAAATAGAAGTTAGTGGCTCAGGACTACGACGATTTACACGAGAACGTGACAAAAAAACTTGAGAATCGAAGAATACAGAAAGTGGGCACTGGATGGTGGAAGAAACAACCAGGGCCTAGTTTTGATTACTGGACGACGAATTCAATTCTGCAAGGAATTTTAATATCTATAGGCCTAAAAATAACGTCTGGCGGCATAGAGGATGAGGCCATAAAAAATCGAAATGTGTAGGGAAGAAGGGCACTATTAAATGTAATATGTTATCAAAGACCGACACGAGTTTTCGTTTCGGTATCCTTTGATAGATGCGGCCTCATGCCGCCTCATATTTTTATGAAATCCGTTAATAGGCACCTTGCATCAATTTTTTTTATTGCTGATTTCGTTTGTCAATGAAAAATAAGTCAACACGTGTTTTTTCTTTTTCTTGTTAGACAAAAATTGACGGAGATATAACGCTTTGAAATGTGCTTATTTTTGATATCCTATGACGTCACTCCATGCTGAGTATATCTATATATACATAACCTAATCTTTGTATAACTTTCGGAATATTCATATTTGGACAAAATAAAAAAATGTATAGATTTTTTTCCGATTTCCAACAGTTTGCAATAAACAGTTATCAATTTAATTTTTCATGCAAGGTGCCTACCTTCTGATAAACTGTCACTGTCAGGTACCTATGCAATCTGACGGATAAAAACGCAATCTGTAATCTCATTGGGCGGCCACTTATCCGCCGACCAATAGAATTATAGAAAGGTAAATTCATCTTGCAGATAGTTACCAGCAAGTTTATCTGAAGATGAATAAACCGGGCCTTAAAAAAGTATTAGGATTTAAAAGTATAATTTTTATTGAATATTATGGCTCAGTCTAATTAAGTGAAAATGTTTTATAAAATTGAAAACCAAGATTCAAATATGAGTTCGAAAAGTCTCAAGATGACCAGGATTAATTAGGAAAGATAGGTTTGATTTACTCTGGGGTTAGCAAATACATAGACAGGCGCGGGACGCGGGTCCAGACCCAAATTAAGGGGGGGGGGGGGGCATACAAAATATTGGAAGGTATAGTATTTTTAATTTCAAGTGAAACACCAAAAAAACATCTAGTCGGCATACATCAAACAAATATAAGACATGAGCGTCACATATTTTTTATTTCTTTTAATGGTAATAATCAATATCAAACAACACAACTATTAATACCTGAAATATAACAGCAAAAAATATATAAATTGGGATGACACTAGTTATAGAAGTCCCGTAGTCTAGTCAGCCAGGCACCGCATCCTTCCTGGGGAGACGTAAGTAGCCCGCCCCAATGATTCAACTTATAGGCGCGTGCCGACATAAATTATTATTTTGGGCTACTGTAGTGATATTTCCTCCCTGCTTATATTTTGTACAGGGAAACTTACAATAGATTTTCTATGAAATTAATAGAAGAGAGCGACGTGATATTGAAATATCCTCGTATAATTCAGTATGTCAGGTGAAAATAAAAATACTATAGTGTCTGGTTATGATTTGACACCCCACCGTTATAGGTAGATGATAGGTGTAAACACAAAAGTGGAGCAGTTTTAGCTAAATTATTGTCAGAAATTAGAAATTTTGCGTACTTTCAACTTTTTTCAAATGGAATGCCCTATATTTGATTCTATATTCTTGAAGAGCACAATTTTCCGATTCCAAAAATATATAGTTTCTCTATATTTAGTTGAGCCGTCTCCACCATATTTGGCTTCAAAATTTCTTAAAATACTATCAGAGAAACCAAGTGCCACAAATTTTACCTGAAACTTTCATCAGAATGGTCCACAAAATCGTCTGTAGGATAGTATTTTTCCAATTTTTAGAGCCAAATATGTTGAAAAGGCTCAAACAAATATAGATAAACTATACAGGGTGTTCCGAAATTAATGCACCAAATTTTTATGGCATATTCTACGTCGAAAATAAGCCCTAGTTACCTATATAAACATATGTCCGGAAACGCTTCCTTTCCGAGATACAGGGTGTTGAAATTCTAAGAAAAAAAACTATTTTTTATCATAATTCATACTACTTTGAAATTTTGTACACTGGTTTCAAGCAACCAAAGACATTTTCTGACGTGGAATATTTAATAAAAAAATTACCAGTGACGTCACAAAACTAATTTGAAACTTTAGGTCTTTAATTTTTAACATTTTTATCATAATTTTGGCAATTTCGCCATGCATCAAAATGTTTTTTTATTTTTTTACTTTAAAGCAGTGCATCTTTCGGAAAAAAGTGAAGAGATCAAATTTGTTCTAAATTGAATGGGGATTTGAAAAATGATTTTTATTTTAGAAAAAAACAGTGACGCACCATTTTTGTCTTGAAAAATATTCCTTACAAATCTGGTAGGACGCCACTGGTAATTTTTAAAAAAATAATTTCACATCAAAAAATGTCTTTTGCTGCTTGAAAGCAATGTACAAAATTCCAATGAAATATCTAGAGTGGTTTGAAAATTATGATAGAAAAATAGTTTTTTTCTTAGAATTTCAACAACCTGTATCTCGGAAAGGAAGCGTTTCCGGACATATGTTTATATAGGTAACTGGGGCTTATTTTCGACGTAAAATATGCCATAACAATTTGGAGCATTAATTTCGGAGCACCCTGTATATTAGAAGCAAATATAGGGTATTTCATTTAAAAAAGTTGAAAGTACGCAAAAATTCAAATTTCTTACAATAAACTTTTGTTTTTGACGATGGATTCTGAAAATTTGGTTAAAACTGCACCACTTTTGTGTTCACACCTATCATCTACCTTTAAAGGTAAAGGCTGCAGGTGGGGTGTCAAATTATAACCAAACACCCTGTACATACAAATAGAAATAGGCTAGAAATCCGTGATAAAATGACGCCATGAATTAAAATTCTGTTACATACGGGCCCTGTTAAACCCGGAAAAATTGTAAATCGACCAATTTTTAAAATTATTTTCTCTTATCTAGGGGGGGCCATGGCCCCTATGGCCCCTATGGCCCCTCCCTGGATCCGTGCCTGTACATAGAATAGGTAGCTGTAAGGTTCAGAAAACCGGAATTTTAGATTTAATTAAAATGCTATGTTAATTTTGAAATGAAATAAAAGTTTTCGTATGAAAACCTTACGTTGCTTCTCACATTTGCAAATAGACCTCCTTCACAAGTTTAATTGTAGTTACCCAAAGAAATAAGCACAATCAATAAAACCGCTCGCTATTTATACAATCCAATGAATTAATAGAGTACTTGGGCTTGGGCAGCCTGCTACAGTATACAGGGTGTAGAAAAATAGTGTACCGGACTTCGAGGGGTGATACTACATATAAAAAAAAAGTTCCTATGAACATATATGCTCTAAGATGCTTCCTGAAGAAGTTACCGCCCTTCAAATGGTAGATGAAAATAATAGGTTTTCTTTATTTTGAAGAACAGTGGCAGACCATTTTCCTTGAAATTTGGTATTACGCATATATTTTGATGCTAAAGCGAATAGTGATAGTAAAAAACGCCGCAACATTTCTGAAAGGGTTGTTTCCCTAAGGGTAGAGGGTAGTTTTCCACAAAGTTTTTTTTTTATCTTAGTGAATACAGTAGTTTTAACATATGATATAATAAGCTAGGACTTTCTTACGTAAAAAAGGTGCTTTTTATTCAACTCGCTATTGCGAAAGACACATATTGTTTGGGTCAAAGGTAGTGTACCTAGATTTTAGCAGTACCTATATTGAATGGTGATCACATGAAACATCTCCTTTAAATTTGTAGAGTATACCTAGTAAACAAATCAAATTGTTAATAATTTTTTCAATAAATTTTATCACCATTCGCTTTGGCTGGCATCAAAATCTATGCGAGAATACCAGTTTCAAAGAAAATGGTTTGCCACTGTTCTTGAAAATAAAGAAAACCTAATATTTTCATCTACCCCTCGAAGTGCGGTACACTATTTTTTTTTTACACCCTGTATAAATATGCTTATGTACAAAAACAATGTTTATTAATGATTGCCACAAGATAAAAACAACACAGTAAATATATATCAAAAAGTTATCAGTAGGCAGGAACCTCATTAAATAGGTTTTCACATACCGTAGTATTGGACCTCGACTCCATAGCCAACCAGAAATTATTTTCCAGCTCCAAATTGATGTTGGCAAAACCAACTACGGATTCTCCGATCAGACGTTCTCTACGCATGCGTTCGCAGCTGTACAATCGCAAACGGATACCCATCGAATTTACGTCTTCAGGATTCACTCTATGCAGAAGGAAGCTTTCCATAAATTGCGGATTTTCGCCTGAGCGAATTTTGGTTTTGTGCTTTTGTTTTTTGCTCGGCAATAAAATTAAACGTACCTAAAAACCGAAAACAACGATAAATTAAGCGAACCTATTTACAGGAACCTAATGTTACCTGAGTATTAGTAGGTTGCCCTCTGTCTCTACTAGGTATATCTCTTGCTTGCAACACGTGCACAGTCATTTTTCTCATCGGAGCATCATAGAGCAAAGCGACTTCCAAATATCCGCATTTATTAGCTAGTCTATTAATGGGCCCCTCGTCTTGCTCTTGGTCTATTACACCAGTTGCAGCGGCCACTTCACAAGAGATCGTTATGGTATCATCTTGATGAACATCTATCGGTCGGTCTTCGCAGTCTGGGTTCATCACAACGATGCACTACATTTTTTAAATTAGACAGTTTATTTATTTTGCTACTTTACAAAATTTATGTTTTATGTTTGTGTCGAAAGCAATTAACCATTGGGGTCAGAACTGCCTTTTCGTAAAAAATGAGACACGGTGCTGTCATGGTTAACCGTTTGTGTTCTGACGAAGCTTCGCAGTCTCACTGCTATCAACCTCCCAGTTCATAGCCATTTATATTATGCTAGAACTAGAAATGTATCTCTGTCTAGAAATTACTTGTATTTTGATGGAACTTCAGAAAACGCCCTATGCAACTGTTGCAGGTAACCAGCATTAGATTAGCTGCGCGAATCCAATCAAGTTTATTAGTTGATAATTATTAGTATTGCGTAGCAGTTGATGCTAATATTTTTACTGTTTGTATTATTTATAATTATAAATAAATAATTCCACTACGATTGTTCCAATCTGGACGAGCTTTGAAATTCGTGTGATTGAACTTAAGACAAACAGTGCCTGACAGTGGTCTTAAGCCGTATGAACAACATGTTTTTCGACATACATTTTTGCACCGATGAACCGCACGTGTTTAACGGTCGGCCAATCGATAAAAGTCCGTTTGACTATTGAAGTGTCGCTACAACTGGACATTCATATTTTTGATATTTGAGATATTGCTAAAGGTTGGGTATCCGCAAAGATACATCGAGATACTCCGCCTGCTACATGATAATATGAATGCGATGGACACAGAAAGTCTTTTAAAATAACTACAGGTTAAACAGGGCTTTGTTATTGCACCCACTTTATTTTCTCTATTTATAGGATCCATATTTACCTTGTCGAGGGTCACCTGCCGTCAGGAGTAAACATCCTGTGCGCAGACTTGATGGCGGCTTGTTCAACCTAAACAGATTACGTGCCAAAACAAAAGTATATCGACGACGTCGATAATTGAACTGCAATATGCGGATCCGATGATAATGTCGTGATGGCCAATACAGAGAAAGATCTTCAGGCAATTATCAATGCATTCAACCAGGCATACAGGAGAATCGGCGTAGAGATCAACTTTAACAAGACGCAGATTCGGCACCATCCCGCACCGGATACTAATTCCCTAGACCCAAATATAACTATAAATGACCATTTTTTACAGAACGTAGAACACTACCAATACCTTGGGAGCCATCTGTCAGCGAATGCAACGATTGACGCTGAAATCCAACATCGCTCGAAGTGTGCTAGCGTGGCGTTCGGGCGACTCCTAGAGACAGTTTTCAACAAACACGGCATCAGCGCTGAGACCAAACTTCGCGTCTCCAAGGCAGTTGTAATACCAACACTTACATATGGCTGCGAAACATGGACCACCTACAGAAGACACATAAAAAGAAGGATCCTACGGATTAAATGGCAAGACTGATGAAGGAATATTAGTGTTTTGGAGGAGGACAAAACAACTAGCATGATGGAAGCCCTCATCATTAAGCACCAACTTCGCTGGACAGCTCACCTCGTCCGCATGCGTTAAACACGTCTTCCACGACAGATTCTCTACAGTCAACTGAAAGAGGGAAAACGAAATCAAGAAGGTCAACAAAAACGCTACAAAGTTGATCTGAAGGAAAATATGGCAACGTGCCGCATCGATACCAGTAACTGGGAGACGATGGCAATTGATAGGCCCTGATGGCGTCGAAAAGTCAACGACGTACCACAAACTTTTGAAGAACAGCGACGCAGACACGAGACCGAAAAGAGGGACCGCAGGAAGGAGCGAGAGAACAGAGGATGAAGAGAGGTTGTGCCAACACTGTGAAAGAGTGTGCGGCTCCAGAATTGGTTTATATATCCATCAGAAAACGCACAATCGACAAAGAATAGAATAGAAGATAATCATACTCGGTATCGAGTGATTGCCTATGACGATGATTCATATTTTTATTCTTGTTTTTTGCTTTTGAGTCTATTTTTAAGTATTATGATCACATATAACATTATGCATTAAACCTAAGGGTATTACCAATAAAAACAGCCAAACTAAAAAAGATGTGTCGCTGATCTGCAGTAACAGAAACAAATCTGTTGAAAATCATAAAGCTTATATGTCGAAGCAGGATACATCCACCCTTCACGACGTAAACGTAAAATAGGAGCTGAGTCTACGTCCAGCTGAGAGTAGAGATAATCAAACCATCAAATCTACCAATGACACACATTCAATTTTACCAAAACTAGTGAAAAAGAAGATGCTTTCTCATCTGCTGTTAAGGGCGTTACCTGGTGCTACCCAATAAACGTGGTCTTCGCAGCAGAAAAAACGATTTCTATAGCTCCGCATCTACTTTTTGGTCGAAAATATGATATAGTGAACCATCATGGTTAATTGCATTGCTTAGAAAATTATTTTTAATTGTAAAACTCACGTCTCTATTTTTATTTGTGCTTGCTACTGCTTGATTCGTCGAGGCATGTTCCATTTTTGCATTATGGTAAATTCGCTGATTGTCTATCTTTGTTTCTCTAATTATTAGGTCTGGCGTTCTTTTTAAAGCCTCATTAACTTCAGCGGTAACTTTTGTCGACGGTTGCAGATGCTTTTCGCCTGCGCCAACTGAACTGGTGGTTGAACTACAGCAGGAACTGTTACTGCTCATCCCCATTCGACCCTTCTCCACCAACGAGATTAGGTCATGACGTGGCGGAATGTCTGAAGAATTTTTACGACTTCCTATTTCGGATTCAGAACTAGAGTCTGCACCATCAAAGGAGAATGTTTTGACTGAAAGCAAAAGACAATATTTGAAAAATATTTTAGAAACTGCAGAAAAATATACTTGAGTTTGATGAATATTTTCAGACTTCATGCTCACATGTTATAGATACACTCATCAAAATAGTCTAGGGAACAAGAAATACCTGTCTTTTAATTACAAGACAAAACAACTTTTTCCTAAAGATAAGGTGGGTATTATTTATTGAACAAATCTTATCAAATTTACCATATCAGTTTTTTTTTTGCAAGCTTGTTTAATTAATAATTTAAATATTTTATAAATAAAATCAGCAAAATTTCTAATAAGTATAGGTATTATCTTATTCCCTATAGACCATTTTGATGTGTGTATATATTGTAAAGGGGTTCTTCAACATAAAAAAAAATTACATCTATATGAATACCAGTAACTTCCTACCTTGAAATCTATAGTACTTTAAAAATAGCGTTTGGCTCATCTTCCAAAAAACCTGATATGCACTCATACATTTTTGATCCAGCTTAAAAATTAATTCAAATTATTTTAAAAGCAGTCTATATGAACCTGATGGGCTTTTCACTAACCACTGATTCATTCTTTTGGTAAAACAAAATATTGTCATCAAGGCCAAAAGAGATAATAAAGTTTCAAATCACAGGAAATGAGCGAGTACCGTGATAATACTTGAATTATTCTTACCCAATTTAGTTTTATTATGCGTAGCGACCAAAGTAGGATTTGGAACAGCTCTAGTGGCGATTGGTGGGCAAGGTTCGTCACAACAGGTGAGGGTCACCCCACGCACGGTACCCCACCACCATCTGTTTTTGATGTAGAGCAGAATAACAAGTAGAATGGCACCAATCCCTGCGAAAGCTGCCAAAAACGTACCATCTTTTCCTGAAAAAAACATTCCGTTTTTCTAATGCTGTTAAGAAATTATGGGGAAATTTCGGGACCCATAATTTTTCTACGCTACACTTACTATACAGGCTATTATAAAGTCAGCATAATTTGAATTATTCTCGTTAAAATTTGAAAAAAAAAATGTTAGGGCATGTTTTAGGAAAAAGTAGGTATTGTAGCGGCGCGGCACCTCCGCCAGGGCGCACAGAATCCATACCGAGAAATCTAGAAAGTAAAGTCCGCCGATTTTAATCTGATAGTCGGAAGGAATGTGAGCTGGTGGCACCCTACATTAGAACGCCAATGGTCACCTTACGTCACTCCTGTTTTTGCCATAAGCTTATCACCCCCTCGCTCTTCATATGGAAAGTGTCAGATAAAAATCGACGAACAATACTGCGTTATTCAGGAAAAGAAACTATTGCGTTCTACTGGATTTTACAGGAATGGATTATGGATATATAAAGGCTGGGATTAATTAGTAGCTTTTAGTTTAAGATTGGCTGGTATACGATTTAGATAGTGAATATTGTACGAGTTGTAGAGTTAAGTTGTTTGAGTTAATTAGTAAAGTAATTAGTGTCAAAGTATATAAACTGCTGGAACTTCGATACGCATAAAGAAATTTTTTTGGCTATTTTCGAAGTCAAATATCTCAGAAAGTATACGAGATATTTGATTGCGGTTTGAAGCATATTGGGGCGCATTGTTTGGTGTTCAAGGTATATGATATCATGCTGATAAACAGAGACATTATCTACAACATACAGGGTGGACAATAAAACAGTGCAAAGTTTAACAAATTTCAGGGCGTCGCCATTTCTTTTCATACATACTTCTGCTTTTTTCTGGGTTTAATAAGAATCAGTAGTTCAATGGTAAAAAACAACTTGAAGGGTTTTTGAATAAACCTCGTAGTTTTGCAGAAATTTCAGTTTAACTGAAAAACGACTTTCATCACCCTGATTCTTTGTCTCAGTTACTCAAAACAATTTTCTTCATTATTGTTGGTTCAACGTTTTCGTCTTTTTTTGTTTCAAGAAGATTTTATACAGGGTGAAAAAAAAAGTAAGTTTTTAATACTAATTATTGGGTGCCCCGTAAAGATAATTACGTCTCAGAGTAACTAGAGATAGTACGCGTCGTAACACGTAACATGTACTGCGACTAGGGGGCACAGTTTTCTCAGTCAATTGATGTGGCACCTACCTTTCTCTGCGTTATTGTATAACCATGCTGAGAATAAAATATAATTACATTATGTTTCCTAGGTGGAAAAGCTATTCTGTTCTCAGTGTTCTCGAGACACTGAGATATTTGGTGAATTATTAGCACATACCATGTCATAAGGGGGCTACTTATACAGGGGTGGTAAAAGGAACCGGAACGGTTGAATCTCTTCAAACCCACTTATGCTGCTTTCCCAAATTTCGTTGGAGGTTTCTGGGCCAACAAAATTGGACAATGATATAGGGCAAAGCTGGTAGATCTGGCAGCAGCGCCGACATCATTGAACCATTAAATTTTGTATGTCCGGAAACCTCCAGATAACAAAATTTGAGAATGCAGGTTTTTTAAACGGGTTTGAAAGAAATTCAACCGTTCCGGTACTTTTTACCACCCCGGTATAAATAGTCCCCCTTATGACATGACACGTGCTAATAATTAACCAAATATCTCAGCGTCTCGAGAACAGAATAGCTTTTTCACCTAGGAAACATAATATGTATAATCATATTCTGCTCTCAGAATGGTTATACAATAGGCAATTTTTCGCGAGGATAATCAAGCATAATCTGATTATGCTGGGTTATGTGATGTGTCAATGGGCCACTTTCAAAATAAAGGTTAGGTATAATTGCTATAATAGTATTGTCAACTAGCTGCTTGGGAAAGGAGGACCCGGTATTCAACCTTATTAATTTAATTGCCGATTCGATCGAATATTTATTGCAATTCAGCAATAAATTAATATAAATTGCGCTGCAAGCCGCAGCAAAGGCAGACTTAAACCAGTGCAAGTACCTCTCGTTGGAAAAGCCCCTCTGGAATTAAGTCTCCCCAGTGCAAGTACCTCTCGTTGGGAACGCCCCTCTGGGTATCTTCAGCCTTATCGTTGTCCAGTGCAATTACCTCTCGTTGGGAACGCCCCTCTGGACAAGGCATAAGGGTGACGATAAACTAATCTACAGTCCTCCAAGCAGCATTGACGTGTGGCTCCCTATAAGGACCCCAGTGTTCGAAGGGTCACGTACCTTATAGGATTAGCATACATGTAAGGTGATATTTGGGAAAATATATAGCATATATTTTTATATAACCTGAGCGAGTTTCTCTCCATCTACCCCCAAAGCTACAAACCCCCCATGTCACCCCCGTAAAGCGGGTAGTTGTGACATATTTGGTGGAGGCGCCGTCTCGAACCCGACGCCCAGAACCGACGCCGTAAGGCGCCTTTGAAGCAAGCCAACACCCAAACACGTCACCAGGCGGTACGTCGACAAGAGAAATTCACGACACCGTGGCGAAGGTGAAGAGAAGACAGAAGAATAAATTGTGACACATAGTTAGTACCGCCGCCATTGTGGCAAGAATAGATGCCAGACAAAACCAAATATAATTTGAGGCCAAAGAACGCAGCAGCAACGACACCAGTAGAATTAGAATCAGAAAACGTGCTCTTTCTGCCGAGAAGATCACTGCAAAGATCACCACCAGAGTCAACCAGTATCAGTTTAGAACAAATTGAAAGGGAAATAGAAAACCAAGCAAATAATCAAACAGACTACGAAGAAGACAGTGTTTTTGGTAGCCCACCAGACCTTACCCTTCAAGAAGCACCAAAACACAGGCAACCATCTAAAGAGGAAGTAGATCAACCGGATATAATGGCGAACACCACAATAACTGATGCTATAACAGCGGAGAAAAAGGCGAAGTTGCCTCAGTTTATCAGCCCTCAGACCTTCCAGCCATGTAAAACCAGCGCGATCGAGTTCCTAAGAACATATGACGGATCAGCGATAGCAAATGGGTGGGACGAAAAGCTGAAAATTGTTTATTTTGAAACGTATTTAGATGGAGCCGCAAACCTGTGGTTTCAGGAATACAAGCGCGACCACCAAAACAACAGCTGGAAAGACATTGTCAAAGATTTTTCAGAGGAATTTGAGGATACAGATTACCAAAGGGCACTCAAGAAAAAAGTCGAAAACAGAAAACAGGGTCAAGATGAGTCAGTCAAGGAATACTTGTACGATTTACAAGTATTATACCACAATTACACGCATACATTTGAGATACAAGAATTTGTAAGGATTTTCAGCGAAGGATTGACAAAGGCAAATTATTACACTTACTACTGGTTAACAAACCCGCCGAACAAGCCACCAACATCACTTATACAATTAAAAGAAATAGCAGACACAATAGATAAAGCTCCGAAGAAAAGTGCAACGCAAGATACCCAAATTACCAGCTGTACGGAAAGAAATACAATAACAGACACAGAACTAAAGATATGTCATTATTGTGGAAAAAGAGGACATGTAATGGCCACCTGCAGGATTCGAATGCAAGGAGAACACACAAGCACAAGAGTACCAATAGCTAGCCAAACGTGTTATAATTGTGGCAAAACAGGACATTTCACAGCTGTATGTAGGAGCCAAAAGATGAGAAATCATAACTACAACCCAAAAATTGCCACCGTTTGTTACAACTGTGGAAAAACAGGACATATTGCAACAGTATGCAGATCCCAGCCTCAAAGGAACAAATCGTATACGCCACGAAACAACAAAAACAATCCAGGTTGCTTTGTTTGTGGAAAACAGGGTCACTTTGCAAACACCTGTACAGCCCGACGACAAAACCCAAACGAGAAGGGATGGCAAAATTAAAAGCCCCTGCCATCCTTACCATGGGGAAGAACAATAACATAGGTATCTTGCACATCACAATTAGATTAAATAATAAGTACATGTCAGCAATCGTGGATACAGGAGCACAAGATAGCGTTCTACAAAGAAGTCTAATCAAAGAGGAACTAACAAGAAATGATGACACGGTTCTAGTCACTGCAGGAGGACACCAGATAAAAGTTTTGGGAGACATTGATGTTCCAATAGAAATACCAGGGAGTCAGAAATGGAAGGGCAGACTAAACGCCAAAGTGATTTCATCATTAACTCAACCAGTCATCCTAGGCATGGAGTTTTTGACAAAAAATAACGCGATCATAGATCTCCCAAGGAAAAAACTGATTCTGAATGGCCAGTATGAAATACCTCTAAGACAAATGAATAATGAAAAAATCAACATGTCAGGTCTGGTCACAACAAAACAGCCAACTAAAACGAGAGAGCTTAAACTAGATACTTCAAGAGATGAACAAGAGTTTAACAAGTTTGTAAGAGAGCACATTCACATAAAAGATGACCAGGTTAACGGTCTCCTGAAAGAAGAATATGGAAACATAGACGTCCTAACGAACGATGCCGTTTTAGTAGTAGGAGTAACCCAAAACTACAAATCAAAAAAATCAGTTTTCAGAAAATATAGGCATATGATTCCAAAAAAGAGAGAGAAAGGAACCATTGGGGAGCTATTTATGTCAAAACAAGGAAAAAAATCACTCGTTTTCCTATTTACAAGAGAATCAATGAAGAAGAAGCCAAGTCCAAGAAATATGTATAAATGTCTCACAGCACTGAGGAACAATATCTCAAAAAATAAATCCATCAAGGATGGGGATTAAAAAAAGAATGGACAAGATTTAAACAGATGATATATTTTCTATTTGAAGATGCAGGGGTCCAAATTCACATTTATAGGGAAAAACCTGGGGATAAAGCTAAAGAAGAAAAGCAGGAAGAAGAAATTAGGCATCTGATGCAAATCGGTACAGAAACCAAGAAAAAGACATATAAATTGGGTACAAAGAAAGATTATATGGTATCTCAGAATGAGTTAAAAACATTGGAATTAGATAT